AAGACCCCTGACAACTGTCGAGGAGATCGGTGCAGGGGGTCTGGGGCCCTGCACCCCTAGCTGCTGACAGGCAAAACTTGTGCCATGGGTGCTTGTGGGACTGACTGTGTCTGTCTTGGGGCAGGGAGGGGAGACATAGCAGCCAGGCCTGCAGTAATGTTACTGTGTTACCGGTTACCAATCAATCATGATCGACTCAGGGACCAGTTCAATACACCGGACCTAGCTAATGTAGCCAGATAATTGCCATCAATTAGCGCCTACAAAACCCATGCTAAGGAGAGGAAAGAATCAATATAGGCAATCAACTGCCCCAAACAGAGACGGTCAGTCCCACAAGCACCCATGGCACGAGTTTGGTCTGTCAGCAGCTAGGGGTGCAGGGCTCCAGAACCCAGAAGCCCCGCACTGAGATCCTCAACAGCTGGCAGGCATCATGGCCTCAGCAGGGGCCGCCATCCCTGCAGCTGTCACCTCGCTGTGTCTTAACACACACAGGGTCATTTGTGTCACGAGTTTTGCCTGTCAGCAGCTTGGGGTGCACTTCCCCCTGAACCCCTGCACCAATCTTCTTGAAACTTGGCAGGCTTTGTGGCCTCAGCAGGGGTTGGCATGACTGCAGTTTTGACCCCCCCTGTGGTGTAACACATAGACATGACAGAAGTTTTGCTTTCAGGAATTTGGGGTACAGTTCCCCCAAACCCCTACACCAATCTTCTTGAAACTTGGTAGATTTCATGCTCTCAGCAGAGGCTACCATCCCTGCAAGTCTCATCCAAATTGGACAAAAAACAACAAAGTTATAGATATCTAATTGATTCCCCATTATACCCTAAGGCTGAATCTCTGAGGTGGCTCCCAAGCCTTGAAGCCGCTTTGGCCAGATCGAGGCGGAAACCTGGTCCAGAGCCCCAGATCGGATCATTGCCATCCAAAGTGGCTGGATCCGAAGCTGGATAGGATCGCTGCCGACTTGCACAGGCTTAGTAGTTAGCCATGTTGTTTTGTGTATAGCTTTCACTACTTTTACTAAAAAGCAAACACCCCCCCTCCCCCCCCAAATAAAACGTAAGAACTGGCATTTTCCAAATAGTGCCTTGAGTCATATTGAGAACCACTGTGTAAGATGATCCGTTTGAATAACAAGCGATCTTGTTGCATGCTGGCATTGGCTTTATTGGTGACAAATCTTAGGCATGTTGTAGAGGAGGCAGTCTCCTGCTCTGTTGCATGGGGAGTTTAGAGTAGAAGGAATGTCTGTCTGCTCAGAGCCACTTGGAGATATACTGAAAGGCAGGTGTTGGTGGAAGAATTGCATAGAAATGATTTAGATGGGTGTTGGGTGACCAGGTCCAATGAAAAATGCATCTCGGGCTGTAAAGAAAGGAAACCTCTTAATTTGTCAAAAGCCAGCCATTAGGTCAGGAAAAGCTTTGTGGAGCTCTGCATAGCTGCTGCTGCAGAATTGGTTGCTAAAAGAGGCCGTGTTTTGAAATTTTACCCACTCAAAGCTTGATGCAAACTGGCCGTAGGTTAAGAGTGACTTCTATCCTGCAGACCTTCGTTACAATGCTAGAATTTATTATAACTCATTTTATTCTATGTTGCAATTGTACGAAGGGGAAATAGTATTAAATTGTTTTCCTTTTTAGTTTTATTTGAACCTGTGACGTTTTAACTTCGTTTCTATACGTGTGTGTGTGTGCTGTGAGGTTGATGCCTTCTGAAATACTGGTATATCAGTTAACAAAACAGTCTTAACTCAAGTGCAGACCTGACTGAAGTCAATTGGAGAATGGAAAAAGTGTACTGTGACGTGGTGATAAACATCCTGTTGCTTAGAGCAATTATGCCATGAGTTAGCCAAATGGTGAGAGAGAGCAGGCGCAGCATAACTTTAGAACAAAGGGGAGACAGCGTAGCAACTGCCTTTTGATCTTGCTTGATCCATTTCCATTTTGACATCAAAATAAGGACAAGTAATTTTTTTTGCCTTTAAAATCCAGGGGGTGTATGCTTCATTTTTTTTGACACTACAAAAGGCATCTTGAAGTCAGAAATGCAAATCATGTCAGACTTTAGGGTTTTTTTCCCTTTTTTTTAATTTTCTGTGCATATTGCATTCTGTTTCCAGTGTCTGTTATTTTGTAACTTAACTTCCACTATATTCTTCCACTCAGTTGAAATAAAGCTTGAGCTAACAGAGCAGTGAAAACTAGCTCTGAACACTGAGTTCTCAAAATAGTCCATGAAATAATGCATTATTGATCAGATTCTAATAGCTTGTACTTGGGTAAGCTTGATTAGGGTCAGACATCATTTGTTTAATAAGTTGAAAAGATCCTTGGCTGGCTGGCATTTTTTTTTTTTTTTTTTTAGTATGTGTGATCTCTTTCCTCCCTCAGAACCAATATAAAAACTAGTATAGATAGTCTTTGGACAAAAAGGGAAGACTGTTCATGCTGTCTAGAGCAGGGGTGATCAAAACCTGGCTCATGGGCTAGACTTGGCCCCCAGCACCATGTCATCTGCTCTGTGGGGCGCCCCAGGGTCCAAAAATTTGGCAGTGGTAGAATGACATTGCTTTTGTGCTGTCAAATTTCTGGCCCTGTGGGGAGCCCCATGGACTGGCTAGCACGGTCCTGCATGCTGGATTGGGCACACAGGGCAGTTTTAGGGCCTGAT